TCGCTACGCTCACTCGTGCAGATATCATATCCATTCGTGGATAAAAATCATATCACTCATAAATCATAGGATATCCTCTATTTAAGATGTGATATTCGATAGTTTAAAAGTGATATTCGATGGTTTGTAAATTGTTTGCTAAAATATGACATCTTGATCCACATATCAAATATATCATCATGTGATATTCGATCTATATCCTCCTTGCAACCATGGGATGAAGCTTTACGTCCCGCTCCAAGCGGGCAGATATAGTATATCTGCCCGCTACGTCATAATCGCCGCTTGCATATTTGTTCATAATTTGTAACGTTCGCGGAATGACTGTAAACAGCAATGGAGAAAACACAGACAATCAGGGTCTGTTTGATAGTTAAAAAAGGGAAAGAGCATCCACTTAATCAATAAAAAATTCGAGAAAATAAATATGGGAATATTTGAGAGAACATGAAAATCCGCCCACGGCCAAGAAAACAAAACTGGACATGAATATTCTAAAATGTTTCCACGATTTAACAATGTGAACCAGATGACCAATATTGGTATGGGATAAACATATTATCCTATAGTCGGTTCAGGATATTGGGATTATCCCTTGGCCAATATATAGGGGTTATGCAATTGGAGGTTTTGGATACAGGGAATATCCCGAGGGATATACAATATAATCTTCCCGAGGGACCAAGGGAAGATATATTATATATCCCTCGGGATATTCCCTGTATCCAAAACCTCCAAGTGCATAACTGTTGTATATAGTTTAGCATGATATGTACTTCTTTCTGTAACTGGAATACGATTCTAATATACAAGCAGCACATACGTATTCCAGGGGAACCATAAATATTTTGTGTAGGGTGTGGACATTTTTCTTTTCATTTCTCTAAAATCAGATTATTCTCATAAAATTCATACAAAGTTGGGCCTAAGCCTCTATTTTCGTATTCTGCATGTTAAGATATTTATAATGTAAAACCTAAGAGATAAATTCAATGTCTTCAGTTGAGAATAAGTATAAGGTAAATGTGTGAATTCTGCTTGTTGTTGCACTATTTTTATAATAAACAAGGTTCGATACGCAACACTGAATAGACTGCAGTCATAGCTTAGTTGTAAAGGAAACAAAAGAAGTTGGGACGTGGTCATGCTTGAATACGATTTTGAATATATCGCCGTTTACATTTGTTGAAATCGGCCTGTATTAATTTCAACAGGTGATCGGTGTACAAGGGCATATATTTGAGTTATTGGTTTAACGATAAGTATGACCTATGAGTGGGTAATGTTTTACAAATGCATGAAACAAATACTCCAATGGCCTAATCTCAATTTTCCTGCATAAACTATTACATTGAAATGATGGTCATTTGCTCTCTAACTTCCGCACCGCATACGTAACTTCGTAACAATTCAATAAGCCAAGACAGGACCGCTATAATCGCTACATGCCAGTGTTGGTAGTAAAATTTGAAACTTGATTTTCATAGTTCTTGATTGCAATTTATAATTCCTTTAATCTTTTGATCTGCTTATTATTGTGTTTTTTCTAAGGGATTTGTCAACATGTCTAGAATGGAAACTAAACTTGTATTTTTTATTTAAGAACATGTTTATTTATCATTATTTATTACTTGATTTTAGTATATATTTAAAACTTTAATAGTATTCTTATAGGTTTAGTTTGAGTCTAATTCATTTTTTCCAAATAACTAGAGAAAAAACTTAATCGTCAAACATTCTAATTATTATTAATTGTTTTAAACCTTGAAGACTAAAACTTGATTTGTCAAGTTATTAAAATAGCATTATTAAAATAGCATTAACGGATGAGTGTCGCAAACAGGATTAATGTCAACCCAAAAGCAATTGAGCAACTGAGTATAATAAACAAAAAAATATCAAACATTGATGTCATGTTTTTTTGTTATTGCTACATTGTTTAAATAGATTTGACTTAACATCTAATGAGCCTCATTTTGCACAAACAGATAAACAAGCATAGTAAAAAATGTAAGGTAATATGTAATGAACTACCCATCACTGCCATGTTATTAACACATTTAAATGAAAATTGACAAGGATGGGCAAATGTGCCCATACTGTAAACATAATGGAATGACCTGCTCAGAGTGTCACTGAAGTGTGGGCAGATGACAATTTGACTACTCATAAATGTCAGGTTTAGAGTCAATAATAGGATTAGTATGCCCATAGATAATTCCTAATTGCCCATAGATAGTCCAAATGTGTCCATACAGTACTGTAGACATAATGGAATGACCTGCTCAGAGTGTCACTGAAGTGTAGGCAGATGACAATTTGACTACTCATAAATGTCAGGTTTAGAGTCAATAATGGGATTACTATGCTCATAGATAATTCCTAATTGCCCATAGATAGTCAAAATGTACCCATACAGTCATGTAGACATAATGGAATGACCTGCTCAGAGTGTCACTGAAGTCTGGGCAGATGACTATTTGACTACTCATAAATGTCAGGTTTAGAGTCAATAATGGGATTACTATGCTCATAGATAATTCCTAATTGCCCATAGATAGTCCAAATGTACCCATACAGTCATGTAGACATAATGGAATGACCTGCTCAGAGTGTCACTGAAGTCTGGGCAGATGACTATTTGACTACTCATAAATGTCAGGTTTAGAGTCAATAATGGGATTACTATGCTCATAGATAATTCCTAATTGCCCATAGATAGTCCAAATGTACCCATACAGTACTGTAGACATAATGGAATGACCTGCTCAGAGTGTCACTGAAGTGTGGGCAGATGACAATTTGACTACTCATAAATGCTACCCATATATTCCATCATATGGTAATGGACGTTTTGGCCCCATGTATGCTCGATAAATGCTCGGAAAATATGATATTGACCTTGGGCTATATCATATTGACACTCGGTCGCTGCGCTTCCTCGGTCAATATCATATTACCCTTCGGTCATTATCATATTGTCCCTCGGAATAAAATACATCGACGAATTACTTTGTCTACTTGAAAGATCAAACTTCGGATCAATGATAAGCTGCATTTCTTGCAGCGCCCCCACGTACGCAGACGATGTCTCCCTTCTTGCCAATAACAGGGACAGTCTTAATAACTTGATTTCAATTGCCATTAATTACTCCCAAAAGTGGAGGTTCAAGATAAATGTTTCAAAATCAAGCGTGATAACATTTGGCGAGTCGAAACCTGTAAATGAGAAACTACGGAAAACACGCGAGTGGTCTATTCAAAACGATGTGTTAGTTGAGGTTGATCGATGTAAACATCTCGGAAACATATACCAAGCTTCGATGAAAAACACTGATGCAGTCTCCAGCGCGTGTCATAAGTTAAAAGGCAGTTTCGCATCGCTGGCAGGAATTGGTGTACATCCGAAGGGTCTCACCCCTTTAACTGGCATACATCTAATTAAGACCATTTGTATTCCCACTGCACTTTACGGATGCGAGCTGTGGTTTAATATCACAAAATCGGAAATTCTTAAGTTAGAAATTGCTCAACGTTTCATCCTCAAAAGTCTATTTGAATTATTCAAATCTACCAGAACTGATATTGTATACGCTTTAACGGATCTGTTACCAGTCCAGTTCACACTTGACCTACGAAAGCTGTCGTTTCTCGGTCTGCTTTGCAACATGCAACAGCTGACGTTGACAAAGGACATCTTTCTGTTTAGAGCAAATTTGCTTTACGGCGGAAATCACCGGCAGGCAGGATTTGTCGCCGACATTTCAAACATTCTGAAAACCTACGAATTAGAACAATACCTGATTCAATATCTAGACAACGGGTATTTTCCAAATAACATCTTGTGGAAACGCATTTGTAAATATGTAGTCAGACAACGCTTCCTAGTTCAAAGTGAATCTCAACGCAATGACATCAGAATTTCCGTTTCTGTTTTGAGAGCTCATAATCTTTGGAACTTAGCCAGAAAACGGAATTATCTACTTCCGTATATTCTCACAGCAGTCAAAGTTTTAGCCATGCCCGTCATTGACTCTAACCTTCTTTGCGATAGATGTGGCAATTTCTATAAGGATGCTATAAATCACATGCTAATCGACTGTAATGAGTACAATCACATGAGGAATAAACTCATTATTGACATTGCGTTACCCAACAACCACCCAGCGTTCGATCCAAGAAAAATCTGTGCTTCTGTATGCGGCCCTGCCTCGGAGTCATTTGAGATACATAATTTAGAGCTCATCCTGAGATACATTCATAAAGTCATATCAGACTCAGGGATTAGTCTCGTACCCTTATTTGCATAAACTTGCAGAAGATCTTGTAATCTGAAATTTTTATACTACTTTTAAAGATTGTAAATATGTTGTCACCTTGTTTATGTTTATGTTTTATGTTTATTGTATTAATCAAACAGTGTAATTAGTTTATATGAAATCCGATTTAAAATCGGGAATAAAAGATACATACATACATATATATCTCCCAAAAGTATGCAAACATATTCAATAAATATAAAAGTGATTTTAGAATTAATTTATTTTAATAAATCATAGTGGATTTAATTATGAAATTACTTTATTGCTGTATTGGAACACTGTACTAATAATCTATAAAAACAATAAGTATAAGGCAATCAAGGGATCAAATACATGTTAAAATGCAATCAAGGATTAAGAAAATTAAGTTTTATGTTTTACTACCGATTCACACCAAACTTTCAGTGTGCATTGGTATGAATTTTTGTTTGTAGAGATCAAAGGGATTAAATTTGATTTTCATACCATCTCACACCATCAGTATGGTGTGACTCAGTGTGAGGCAGCAGGGGTTTAATCTCTTAATCCTTTCATACCAAGTCACACCAGTTTTATGGTGTGACTTGGTGTTAGATGGTAGTAAAATTATTTTTCATACCAATTAACACCAGAAATGTCCCATTCACACCAAACCCTGATTACTAGTGTATATGTCTGTTAAATGGTTGTTTAACCCACCTGTGTTCATGTGAGGTCATAGGGTCAGGGTCAGCCATAGTGCCATCTAGGGGGACTGCAGCCTCACACAGAACATTAGGGATCTCACTAAGTGTCTTGGCTAGTGTGCGGATGAACTTTTCCCTAGCAGGTGATATAGTAAGTTTATCTGGAATGATACATACATGGAGTATATAATATTGCTAAACCATTCTAGTCACAATGACTGAGTACATAATTATCATACTCGATGTGTATCATCAGTGTGGGTAAGCTCAATCTCTGTGTCAGAAATCCATGGGTCCATGGTTTGAGTAATGACAGTCAATCAATAGGAAAGTTAACTATTAGTAAGTCCAGAATCAATTCAATCATTTCATTTTACAAAAATAATTTTCCACTAATTTGGATTTTTTAAAGGCAGAATCAGATCTATAGGGGGTGACAAAATTACAAGCAACGTGCATAATTGACCTACCAATCTATTCCTTACAATATCAAATACAATATCTCCAAAAAGATTCACAATATGTTATAAATTGGTGAAGTTATTAATGATTCAAAGTGCAAAAAATGGGTGAAAAATGTTTAAATTCTCCCAAATAATAAGAATGGTAACCATTCTTATAGAAAAATAATACATTATTGTAAAAATCTTTAGTTTTCCTTGAATAAAGTATGCACTTTTGTGATTTTTAGAAAATAGACATGACAAGGAATGACATGAGCCAAAAATATTCTAAAATTGAAACAATTTTTTGTTTAGCCTGCTCGCTATCTCTGATTCTCTCTTTAAAGAGAAATAAGTAATATATCAAGGGCACTGACCATGTCTATCGAAGACTAGCTTAGCAGTGAATAGTGCTTCTCTGGGTGCTTCCCGGCCCTGGTCCATGCTGTCATTAACAAATGCAAGCACATTGACGCGTGCAATCTTCACCAAGGTTGCCAAGGTCATCTGATCGACAAGTTTCACAAAGTTACCAAGCCTCCTGTAATGCATAAAATGTAGGATATATCCCAAGATATATGTGCATGAACCACTGGATCAGTTTTGACAAGTATCATTTGGAAACTTGAGGGTTATGGCCTAGTCACATAGCCCGGCCGATGTCCGGCATCGGTAGAGCTCGGTGGATTTTTTTGGTGCCACCGAGCTCTCCTCATCGGAAGCAGAGCTCGGTGACGTGAACGGACTCTGTCCGGACATCTTCAGGCGACCGACCGAACACCGGCCGGTGACCGTACGGAGTCTGTCTCAAAATGGTAGTTTTTTCTGCCGATGTGGCAGCAACTACCGGCCGGAGGTCGGCCGGACATCGGAAGGAATACGACCGGTACCCAAGCAGGTAACAGGACACCGTGCGATCGCCGGCCGGGTTGTTAACGGGCTTTGAACAGTGACCGGCCGATGCTCTGTCCCACATCGGCCGGAGCTCGGTCGGAGCTCGGCCGCTGTCCGTTAAAAAACCTCGTCCTCTGGTTGTCTCAGATGCACGGGACACCCGCCGATACTCGGCCGTGCAACGGCTGACATGTTTTCCGATGTGGTTACGATGGGGCTGCGATGACATGATGAGGGAGCTCGGTGAGAGCCCGGTGAAATTTAACTCCGAAGTTAAAATTTCACCGAGCTACCACCGATGCGGTTTTAAGCAACAAATGCCACGGATGTCCGGCCGGTGTTCGGCCGAGTTCGGTGAAAATTGAATCGCTGGCTCATCGTAACCTCATCGGCCGGGCTATGTGACTAGGCCATTAGTCACTGAAAAGTTTAAATCACTCTGTTAAGTTTAAAAAAGTTTGGGGGCAGTTTTACTCAATCAATATTTGATATAATATCAAATTAATTTAAACCACAAAATTTGGAGATCCATTCATCCGGTAATGGAAATTCATTTGCCAAAGTGTTTCTCTTAATTATTTTCAAGTAATACACACAATGATGTAGCTTACCCTGCCTCATGTTTGGCCTTCTGAAGATTTGCTTCCCTTTGTTCACGCTTTATTCTCTGAAGATGTAGAGAATCCTTTGTGCTGAAAGGAAAGAAACTTCATCAACTTTATGTGCTTGGAAATATAGATATACACCCCCCTCCAAAAGTTTGGCAATCCTAACTCCCCATTAGATACAATGCTGAACCCTGTGTTGAATCTTTCCCCAATTGCAACAACAGGCTTGAAGACATGCTCTAATGTGACAAAGGAGTTGGTGTACCATACTTTTGAGTGTAGTGTACAATGTGCATACCTTGGATGGTAACATTACACGAGCTATCTCTGAATAATCATCTACAACACTGTAATAAATAAAAAAAATAAATAAAAAAAAATAAAAATTTCAATCTACATTGTACAATAAAATAAGGTCAATAAGACATATGTTTTGCCAGAAATATGTGTTCTGTTGTACAAAATGAGCAAAATTTTTATATGAAGAAAATTTCTTCAGCCTAAAACCCAACTAAGGAGTACAATTTATAAATGTTTTTGCAAACCAATTTTTCCTTAATTGACTTATATTATTTGTTTGGTAAGGTTCAGACAACATTAACCTATCACTGGTAGATAGCTTCTGGTAGAGTGACCTGATTTGTAAAATGAATTCCTGATGTTGATAACCCAATATTAAAGATAAAACATAAATAATACATGGATTTTACATGTGGTGCAGTGCCAGTGTAGTGTCCCATGCACATGTAAATATAGAGTGAATGTGTGCCTAGAATCATAAGGTGCAAATAGCAACATTCTAACGCTGCAATTTTAACTCCCCCACCATCTCACACTACCTCCTTGTCAAAGGTACAACAATTAGTGCAGGGGGGCCATTCAACGATTATCGACCAGTGTCAAAATATATCTAAGTTTGGATATTTCATCAAGACTGACATATATTTTTACTATCTACAAAGAAACCCCCTGGATGAACATTATTTCAGCTGATATTCCTCTTGAAACGTGATGAATCTTAAAAATCTATAAGTGGGACTCCCTTTATAGAAGCTTTGAACTGAATTTACACTACTTAATGCTGAAATTGATAGTTTATCCATACATTTTAAGAAAATAGGTATGTCAAGGAAGTTGTTAAGCCAAATATTGACCTGATAGCTCAGAAAAAATAAAAAATTTCGAATTTTCTTTCTACAGTCTTTGTTGCCCCTTTAAATCATTCCACAAAAAAATCCAAATTAAGTTTTTCAATTCATTATAGGCAGCTATCATTCCTTTATTTTGATATGATATTCGATCTAGGAAATCAAAATTAAGTTTTTCAAATCATTATATGCAGCTATTATTTCTTAATTTTGAATCAGCATTAAAATTGATTTAATTTATAAAAAAAAGTCAATCAAAAAATGAAGGTAAACAGAGCATAAAAATATAGACTGTCAAATGAGCCAACACCATTCAGAACATAATACAAGATGAAAATGCAATCTAAAATGATAATAACTGGCAAATATCAATCTCACACAATACAGTTTCAAATAAGAGAATAACATAAACCAGAACAATTCAGGATACTTAGGATAATATAGATGGATGCTACATAGAATCAGTAATGTATAGAGAAAAATATCGCAAATCATGGGATTTGGGGGTGAACATTGTATGCTTACAGTCCTTCCTTTACTAATCGCATCACACATGCCAGTGATCTCCCCAATAAGTGATGCACCTACCTGAGATTTTGAAGAGGGTTAAAATCATTTAAATCTATTTGCACCCAATCAAAAAAATCTGTTCCTTAATAAAAAGGGGGGGTGTCGATCAGGTTTAAGGGTAAACTTACAATGACTATCATAACAGGTGGGTTGGGTCAAGGACAGGTCGATTTGGCTAGGGTTTTTTAAGTCAGATACATATATGTCAAGAAATGGCAGTCAATCAGTGAGAGACCTATATAACCAGATTGCTCCAGCTATTATTGAAGACATTGTCCCGTTTGAGACTCTGGTCAATAAAAAGAACTCTGCCTTTAAGATTTACTACAGTTGCCTATAGAAAGATATGGGTCAGTGATCACCTGGCCCATAAAGAGTTAACACTAGTCCCATGTAAGAGTCCAACTAAGAAGGAAGGCCATATCAGAATATCTGATCAGTAGACACATGCAAATACATGCAAAGGTGCAGAAATCTTATATTGTGTCATATTATTTTTCATTCATGGACTGAATTGAAATAATGTGCTTTATAACACAGAGTGTATCACTATACAGTATAGAAATGGATAACATATAATGTATGACTTATATGTACTCTGCTTGATGTAACACAATAGCTATGAAGCAATTCGATTACAGATATACATAAGAAATACACTAAAATATCCATTTTTGTATCACGAGAACTCTCATATTGAAACATAACAAAATCATGCAGTGCAGAAAATCCATGAAACTTACCCCTTAGCTGTAGTTCTACACAATACATAAAAACATGTAAGATAATGATTTATGAAATGATATTTTCTGAACAAATCAACTAACTTACTAGAGAAAGAACACTTTGAAAGCCACATCCTATGTCACTAATGTACAGCAGTTATAATCTTAAATGATCAAATCAACAGCTATAAAAACTGGTCTATTCTAAACTGTTTTCTAAAATAACTTCACTATGTACACAAAGTTGTTAGTTTAGGTAATATCAAACTTACAAAACAGTTTTCATCTTGGTTTGTTCTTCAGCATACTTGAGTTTCCTAAATGCCTCATCACTAGCTGCATCCACTACCATTTTGCAATACCTAAAATATTATGTATTTCTATTTAGTGCTCCTGTCACAATACATCTGGGTTCGGGTTTATTTTGTTAGTCAAAACTATTGTTGAAGGTTGATGTGAATTTCTCGATCTGGAATTTCATCAGTAACTATAACTCAGAAATCTGAACAACCTCATTGGTTCCTTACAAAAATCAAAGAAATCTGATTCATTATTTTTTGCAGAATTTGATCGACCCTTAGATGTAGAAAGGAATCTGAGAATGCTCCTCACAAAATCTGAACAATCTGATTGGTTCCTCACAAAATCTGAGTAAGCTGATTGGTTCCTCACAAAATCTGAGTAATCTGATTGGCTCCTCACAAAATCTGAGTAATCTGATTGGACACTCACCTGAAGAATTTCTCCAGCACTTTCTCAGCCTGTAGATTCTCATAATTGACAATGTTCTCAAATGCATTCAGGGTGTAGCATTTACTGAAATAAAACAAAATGTTAGGATATAAAATGGATGGATATAAAATAAACAAGAATTTCATTTATATTAGTTGCATTTTTGATTTCTTTAACAATTACAATCTAAGAGAATATAATCCATTGTGAAATGTGTTAAAATCATACTGTTTCAAATACAACTATAAACAAAATCATATAACAAGATATTTTCAAATGATACATAGTATGCATCATTAAGTATTAAGCTTTATTATATTATGTAAAATCACTCATCATAATTTATTTCTTTTTATAGGCTCAAAACTTACTCTGTATCATCTGGCAGAAACTTGATAGTGGAGAGTTCATGTAAGAGACGAGAGATCTGGAGTAAAGCTGACTCAAAGTTTGGTACAGCCAGCAAGAGATTTTGTTGAACAGCATCCCGGCGACGACAGAACTCAATGTAGCTGCGATTGTTTTTCCATCTATAAAGTTATTAGAATCCACAATACAATTCAAGTTGTAAAGAAAATATGTTTTTTATGTACTTACACAGTACTTTATTTGCACTTTTTACATTTTCTATATGTACTTTAGGTTGGTGATTTCACTTTTGGATAGACTACCAATTTCAAAGAACATCAATATTATTTGTTGATTTAGTTGGCTGAAATAATTTATCTGTAAACACAATACAAAGTTATAATACATGTAGACAATGTGGACTTTTTTCAACATTAGAGTATTTACTCAAGAATTTATCTGAACTCTAAGATCCTACCTCATGAACATTTTCATTTTCAGATAATTCTTGAAGAACGCAATATTGGAGACTGCCTTGAAGAGGACGGCTTCTCTCTGCCAGTCTGATAGAGACTGGTTGTCTGAGGGAGCATCAGGGAAGACATGGAGAACTCCAAATGTAGAAAACACATAATGCTCCTTGTTAACCTGAAACAGATGTGATGAGTGTTCAACAAAAACCAGATGAGATGAGGGTTCAATGGAATAACCAGATGGGGAGTTCAACAGAAACAAAAAGAATCTTTGACCCAATAACAAATCTTAATTTTGGGGACCCTGACTTATTTTGAGAAATATAGCTCTCCCAAAGTTTCTGTATTTTAAATCTTATTATATAAAAGCAATGTTTACCTCTCATTATAACATTGAACTGTTTTGGAGCTAATCTGTACCTTTGTTATTCTTTGGTAAGGAAAACAAACATTTGAGATTTTTTGGAGCTAATCTGTACATACCTTATTCTTTGGCACAGAAACCAGGTCATATGGACTGAAGTGCCTACTTGGGGCCTTGTTGAAGTAGAGAAACTTAATCTTCCCAGTGTGATAACATTTACTGAAGTATTCAACTGCTTCCCGGCCATTCATCACAGGTAATTCTGACATCTTAAGAAAACGGAATCTTTCAGAATGATGTAAAAAATTCATAAAAACAAGACAATATTTGATTTTCTAATGAGCTCAATGGTCATATTTATTGTTCTATAGGTGACGTCTAATTAATTTTCATTAAAATAAAATAAATTTTTAATCAAAATAAACTATTTTCAAAATTGAAAATGCAAGATTATAGAATAAATATTATTAATGAGATTTCAACATACAACTACATACTATACCATACTACAATGTTAACTTTGTTTTTACTTACAGAAAGGGATGTTTCACTGGCTGTTACACTGGGGGTCTCTGGTGATTGAAACTGCACACTTCTGTCCTCTACAATACCACTCTCCATTGACTCTCTTTCACTAAGCTCCTCTTCAGGGTACTAAATAAAAAAAAATTTATCAAAGAGGCAACAAAGACTTAAGATGACTAGGAAGTAAAAGTTCTCATAATTTTCAATATTTTTTGGACTTGTAGGTGCTTGTTTTGTAGGTGGGTCTAGTAGAATCTTTTTTGTGACATTTATTCATTCACTTCAACAGCAATTGTTTACACAATTTACCTATTCCAAAAACTGACTCCATATTACCAGTAATGTAACTTTATTCAATTCGAATTGAATTAGATGATTTTCAATTTTCATGGTCATTGAAATAGGGTTTATATTTTTGGTCAAGTAGTCCAACATTGACCGAGGAGAGTAGAATATGACAGCTAAGCTATATATAAATAAACAAATATATTTACTGCAAGAGTAATTACCTCTGTTTTGGGCAAATCAATATTGAGAGCTTGAGCAATGCGACCTGGAGTCTTAGCCCAAACAGCTTCCCCTGTAAAAAGAAAGAATGCATAATTCCTACTTTAATTTTCAAATAACTCATGTTTCTCTATTCTCATTGTAGAGAAGAACAGAACAGTATTTCTAATCTTAGCTTTTTTATTATTCAGGTTGAGGCAAAAAATGTCCATATTTTTTTTATTTCAACAATACTTCTGTAGCTAATGCAATACTAACCAGCTCATCCTGTATATGTATAACAAAAAGTATTTACACACATCCTCAAGTATGGTCAAATGAGACACTTACGTGCTGCCATTTCTTGAGCTACGCCACCTATACTTTTGTTGAGATCACCAATGGTGAGCTGTTGATGTCTGACGTACGTTTCATTAACCTGCAAAATCATATTAATACTTACATGTATATCTATTACTTACTTCAAGCCCAGGAGAGATATTATTTTTTTAAATTAATCTTTTATACAGTTGTGCACAAAATTTAAGGAGGAATTTGGAATGACTTTTTCAATCAACAATGAAAGTAACATAATATTGTGTCTGTAAGTACTGTTTTCAGACGCACGGTATCAAAACATACTTGAAATAAATTTAAAGGTTGTGAAGAACAATATAAGAAATAGTGTGTAAAAAATGATGTACAGAATATCACTTACATCTGGCATATCCTTGGAGTATATATCTCTGCCATTCGGGAGTGAGAAATGTACAGCAGCTGCTCTCTTTATGGATGGGCCTTCGGATTTCCTTGGGGTTAGGGAAGGGGTTGGGTGAGTGAAATTTCTTACAGGATCTGCCCCATCTCGTTTCAACTTTTGAATCTCCTGAAAATAACAAAATGGCGAGAAATGTAAAATTGTGATAATTAAGACTTTAAACGTTATTAAATAAAAATTGTGAAAAATATTTAACCTTTGTTTATTAAATCACTACTGATTTCAGATTTCAGATGGGGAAATCGTCTCCTTAAGTAGAGAGATGGGTCATGTTTTCAATGTACTTTGTGCCGACATCCGTCCAACGCCTCCATTATGTACTATGTATTAAATGATTTTATATATTTTTTATCAAATATTATTAATTATCTCCAAGAATGGAGGGAAAATAAACATAATAATAATAATAATCACAATGGGTTTTGATGGATTTACCTGTGGGAATACTTTCTTCATTGCACTGATGACATGTATGTCAAAGAGTCTCTCCTTGTGAATCTCTGTATGGTGGTAGATTCTCTCAAGATAATGGTAGATCTAAAATATCATACAGAACAACTAAATCAATGTACATCATAATTTTAAGGTAATGCAAATTTTTTCTTTTTTGTTTTGTCATTTAATTTCCAATACAAATATAATAAGCTAATACGTTTTATAACATAAATGGCAAGTTTATGTTTCTTTTCTATAAGTAATGCTAATGGAAGTTTGAATTTTCTTTTTTTTAATTGCATTGATTTGTTCGTTTTTAATGCAGATTAAAATCTCATATCACAATCTGTTATATTTTTTAATAAGGCAGTACATAGTAGAGCATGGATAATTACAATAGTAGTCTACAGTACCTCTTGTTTAGCATGTAGATGTTCCCTGTAAGGCACAACCAGTGTGAGAATTTCATTGAGGAATAACCATGACTGGCGTCTGCAAATACAGTACAACAACCATTCAATGAATGTTTACTCATGGTTTTTGTAAAGACAATGGGTGATAAAATGACAGACATGTGTGTCATGTAGACCGTATAACTTAAAAATGAATTGATGGAAGAAAAAAACAAGAAAAGTGGATTGTTTAGCACAGACTGTCAAGAATGGATTTCCTGAATAGACTCCCAAAAATATCATGCTACCTGTATGTAGAATACAGCATAAAACTTGGATGCATGTTATAATATAAATATAAAATCATGTGTACATAACTTTCGTAGTGTTATTGACACATCCTCCTAAGCAGGTGTCCAGAATCCATACCTCCTTCTTCCCCCCTGCTATAACCAATTTGGAAGTGCCCGATTAAACAGAATCATGTGATCTTATTATTGGCAATGACAAATACATGATTTCTGTTGCAGTGTTGCAACAGCCAATCAGATTGCGAGTTCTTAATCGGGGAAATGCTAACTGCTTATCGCAGGGGGTAAAAAGAAAGAATGTATTCTGGATTTTGAAGCCCTGTGATCGGAGGTTGTATTGACATAAACAGAAAATAGCTTCCTGGATATTGACATGTCTTCTATAGAAATAGAAAGACATAAATAGAAAAATATCTGACTTACGTGTCTTGCTGAAGAGCATTTATCATTACTGATATAAGCTCTTGTTTTAGTTCATTAAGATCATCTTCTACTGGCTCATTCTCTGTCGCAATACTCTCACCCAGTCTACAAATACAATATGTGTCAATAAATTGTATAGATATGGTGCATAAGTATCAAATTTTTCTATTTGCCACAAAAAAACAAGAAGCAAATTGCTATATTCAGGTTGCAAATAATTAAATGATGAGGCAATTCTGCTACTGCTAAAATTGCAAACCTGAAATATTTATTCTTTCAGGAGAAATCAGCACCCCTCCTGAAGAAAAGTGTCGGTCAGGCCGGCAAGAAGTGATGGTTGTGGACATTGCCTAATCTCAATCAGTCCAACAATGACAGCAGAACCCAGAACCCCAGGAGTAACTTAAACAACTTAAAAACTAGAAACTGTCGATCTCAAGTAAAAATACAAAATATACCTTTGACGTATTTCAGCAGTCCATTCAGCAGCTTGGTCCTTCAATGAGCTTGGCCTTGACTGTACTGGTGAGACAATATTCCTGCCATCCCCAATATCAGGCAGTCTGGAGGTGAACTGCTCTATAGGAGTCTCTGGCTTGGTTGACATGACTAGAGGATCTTTGGAAGATATACTCTCCTTTGAAATACTCTAGTTCTTCATCATTGAATTCTAAACCTAAAAATATTTTGTTTTAGAGACAGGTCAATTTATCGAATTCATCGAACCTGCATTTATCAAATCATTTGAGGGAAGTTTTGAAGAGTGGTCGTTTTTTCCAGTGATTTTTTCAATTAGGTGTCTCATCTTGAAGTTTATTTATTGATCCTAGCAACCTACTACATACGATCTGGCTGGCATCTGTGACCCTGCTAGGAACGTAAAGTACACAGTCACCTGGTTACCCAGTTTTTTACACAAACCCCTGCTCGCATTTATACACAAACCCCTGCTCGCAGTTCTACAGGACCAGAACCATTGCATAAGTAATATAGTGGTCACTCTGAGTATCTGTCTAGCTAAAAGTGACTGAACTCATACATAGAATAAGTAATTCTACAGTAGGTCCTAGGTCGAGGCCTAAGCTTGGTCGAGTAGACCTTAAGCTAGTTGGAAAAAAAGAAAAAAAGATAGGCCTAGCCTAAAATCAAATGAAAATTTCAATATTATTGTTTTGTTGGGAGAAGATTAGAAAACGGAGGATTTATGAACGTTGCTTTTTAGATAAGGATAAACGCTAATATCTTATAACAAACGTGCATAGTATAAAAATACATAAAAATTGGTGCATACCTATCTTATGGTCATTTAGTTGGAAATAATCTGTGTTGCCAAGTCGCCATTTGTAATCGGTAAAATTTTATCGGACTGAATCAAATAAAAATCAAAATCTATATATTACTCAGTTGTATAATACTCATTTGTAATCATATTTATTTAAATAAAATAATTGAAGTTATAATGCACCAAAAGACACTCAAAACTGTTATTTTACTGTTTGGTGTATTGAACCATTAAACTACGAGCCAATGAAAAGGCAAGCCTAACTTCACTTAATTTGGCGCGAGATTCAAAAATGATTTTCCCGGGGCATTAAATTTAATTTAGTTTTTACATTTAAAATAATTCGAAATTTCTGCAGATGTTTAGACAAAGAAATCGAAAATATATAATATGTGTGATCTTTTCTCTGATAATAAAAGTATATAAGAGATATAAGTCCCGAAAGGACTGTACGAAATATCAATATTTTGCTAAAGCGAAATAAATTGCAATTCGTGTTTAAGTTCTTGATCAGAAAGGCGAAATATTTTTTCTGAATTTACTGAGATTGCACTGTAATTGCCTTTATAATTATTCGTGGTGATATTACATGGATGGAGATGTATAGAAATAATGAACAATCGAATGGTAATGTAATGTGTGGTTAAAGATTCTTACTAGACCACCAATGGTGAAATTATTTGAAGAAATTCAAAACATTCAAATTTCAATCAATTCAAATCATAAAATGCTCAGTAACAAATAAATCAATGATATTGCTATTGCTTTGATTTTTATCATCCATGAATGAACTATAACATGGGGTTTGAAAACCAATGTTCAGCAGTATCTGAGACCATGCTGAGACTATGAGATTTTTTCAATGCATAACATGATACAGCTCTTATTTGATTTCAAATCTAATAATATCAACAAATTCAGAGTCGTATACAGGGCTACTTTTTAGCCTTTATGTCACACAATAGTATTGATATGTATGTTAATAGCATCATGACATGTATGATTGTGTATTGGGCTGCATTTGTTTGCAGTAGAATAAAAATGGAATACCCAGCTAGTACCACATGCCTTGATAGATCAGATCACAAATCAATCAATACTCACGGAAGAAGTATATATAGAGTACATACATGTATACTGTAGTTCTGAATTGAACATCAAATATTGAAGATGAGTGGAAGAGACTTGAAGACATTCATGAACACCCACCGAGGGACCTCGGCAGAAGCAGGTATGGTTATATTGGTGAATTTACTTTCATGGTAAAATCATGTACTTTCTAGCCTAAAAATTATGACAGGGAAGTGATCAAACAACCAAGTTAGAAATGCACAAAAAATCAGGTCATTCAAAAGCATACTTTATCCCATATTATTGATTTAAGTATATCTGTGGACCAATGCATAATTGTGAGGATAATGCATGTTAATACTGTGTGTCAATTTCTGATTGTTGTTTGCAGCAAAATTGGTTACCAGAATTACAGATGGCATCCATAGTAACAAATATAAAGCAGTGGATTATGATCAACTGAAGGCATTTGCCGCTGAAAAAAAGTTTGAAGGTCAAATGAAACTTTCGAAACTTCGAAAATTTGAGCAAATCTCAAAGCACAATAAAGAACAGAATCTCCTGAAGCAGCATCACCTTATATGGAAAAAGGAATTTATGAAATTGAATAATCAACGTAAAAAACTGCAAGCTGAGATTGAGAATTTGGTGTTAAACAATTCAGATGAATACATATTCCAAAGTCTTGGTGACTATGAAGTTGATCTCATGGATAGTTTTAACAAGTTTAAAATTCAAACTGCTGAACCCATATGGACTTTAAGGTATGACTTCAATGTGACATCATCTCAATATAAATCTTTTAAATGTAAATCACTGCTTTCCTCTGTTATCAACCAGTGAAAATGTCATGCCATCATCATCATTAGAGATATAAATTGTTATCTGGTTTCATTAACCCCACCCTAATTTTGTCCCCCCCAAAAAAAATTGTGACCTCATAATTAATTTCTAGTGGACATATGAGACCAGTGGTAAAAATTAAATTCTGGGTTTGCTGAGTGACTTGCTGTGTGGCAAAGTGATACATCTTTTTGGATAAAGCTTTTTCTGAATTTGTTTTCTAAATAAGATGTCATGTTTTCACCCCCAGAAGTGGTGACAATGCTGTGACATATTGTTGTAATCTCCAACTTTTTTGTGGATAGGGTTTGGCAGTTGGTGTTTAGTGGAAGGCATCTGTAACAAATGGCAGGTGTTAAAATTTTGCATGTTATTATCTTGTCATTATTGCTTTTTAATCATATCATCACTCCCTAGGAGATTACCCCTTGATTGATTTCCCCATTTTATTTTACCTCTAGGGAAGATCTCCAGTATTGGGTGGCAGCTCACAATAACAAGCTTGAAGATGATGCATCACAAAGTCAGCACTCTGAGATCTCTGTCATGGTAGAGAATGTGAAGGAACAGCAGCAGAGAGTTCTTGAACAGCTAGAGAATGAGGAGGCATCATTGGAGGGGGAACTACTAGCAGGTAAAGGACTTAACTGTTTAAGTTCCAGCCTCATCAACGCTTTTTCAAGACTACTAGGAGTTCACCTTTTTTCCATTTTATATGTAGTTTAAACTTTTAGAGTAAAAAAGGAAAAAATTATTACTTTGTCATTAAAGACAGCTATCCATTTGAGACATTTATCTAAGAGGAAGGGAATTATACTAGAACTAGAAGAGATAATCTCAAATGTAATTTTGTAAGATCTTGGCTCAAAATACTGAAAGTTCAATGCCACAATTGTTAAACAGTAACCTCATGAAAAAGGAGAAATCCAATTGGAAAATGTTTATCTTTAAAAAGTTCTGTTAATTAACATAACAATGAAAATTGTTCCCTTTGTAAGATTTTCCACTCAACATATTTTACTGTATATTTGATTTTTCTGTATATATGAACTCCACCCTTCAAAAATAAACATAAGGTAGGAGCCAACTTGGTTTAAACTTTACATAGGACCTTTAATTTTAGCATTTCCAGATCTAGTCCAACCAAATGATAAAGATGTAGAGACAGGTATTCCTACTGAGGCATTTGAGCTTGAATGCCCACATGATGACCTCAAGGTGAAGGTTCTGCAAGAGTTTATAGCACTGGATGAGAGGCACCAGGACAGACTCATTGACCTAGCAACACAACATCCAGATGTTGTCATGTAAGATTACATTTACATTTATTTTCATAAAAGAACATAGGTTCTTTAACCATGTGTCTTTTCAAAACAATATTGAATTAATGATTCACTATTTGAATGCGGTACAATGCATTCAGTCCAGTACAATTTAATATTCAGTCCAAGTCATGTTGAACTGAATTTAGAAAGTCAAAATAGATTTCCCATGGAAATAAAATAATTGAATAAAACCAACAAAAAGTATAAATCTAAAGGAATTTCTGATATATAGTTTATAGGTATAACATTTGAATTTCAGAAATGATGTGCCACATGGAAGCTGGAGCCCAGAGGATCATTTTGTGTATGCTGCAATATCAGAGCAATACCCAAGTGGCATGACCAACAGACGTCTATATTTCCTGGATAGAATGAAGATGCATCTTCCACATAAAACTAAAGCGAGTGTTGTAAGTTGTTCCTTGATGTTCCTTTGAATCGGTGCAAATAGATTTTAAGTGCAAATGGATTTTAAACTGGATGCAAGGTTCTGTTCAAATTATGAATAACAGCAGATTTGCTACGCTTTGGCGTTGCTGTTGTGTAGTTTAGTCTAGACTATTTCTTTTCTATTTCCATTAGATATGTACTGATCAATTTCTACATTTAACATTGCAGATATCTCATGACCAATGGTGGCTGCAGTATAAATATTACCATGACAGGAGGAAGGCTATTATACACGACTGGCTTAGAGGTAAATAATTCACAAATCACAAAACAATAACATTGTAGCCTAGGGTTGCACACTGTTGACATTTTGAAAATTACATTACACCCTGTTAAAATTCTGTTTACACCCTGTCAAATGGAGAGATCATTGGGTTTAGCCAGGATCCAAAATAGGCAAAGGTCAAATCCTAAACCAAATATTATATTACTATTTCACAAAAATATATTACTATGCGACATAATTTTCACAGTTCAGCAGACTAAAGATATTTTTTGGTAAAATTCGGTAAGGTGATTGCCTTCTACTTACACCTACCTGTACAATCTAGTACATGGACTTTTTCACTTTAAGATCGCAAGGAGCTCTTACAGAAGACAAGGGCTGTATTTGCTGAGGCGTGTATAGAACAAGAGATGTTGGAAGTGAAGAACAAACACAAAGCAATGCAGCAGCAACTCTGTTCCTTGCTTTATGATCAGGTACATTTTAGAGTAGTTACTTTATTGTTATTACAAGAAAGTCATGAAGTTTCAGAGCTTGACAGTCTGATGGCAAGTTGGCTTCTAGAGCAGTTGTGAGTACCATGTTTGAATTAAATAAATCTTCCTTTCAATTCAACGATTTAGGGTCCTAACTACTGTATGTGTAGTCAGATAGTTCAGAAGAGAAACTTTGCTTTTTATGACACCTCCAAAAAGTGGTGACATATTGTTATGGTCTCCGTTTTTTGATGGCGGTTGGTGGTTGGCGATCGGCGTTTGTAACAAATTCTTACAACTTCCAATAACTTAAAAATCATCTACAACTATTCAGAAGTTCAAATCTGACTTCATATTTAAGGTTTCACCTTCAATGACACTTTCAAGGTCAAAAAAAGGTTAAAAAGGTCAAAAGATCCAGGGCTCTCGCTACGCTTTTAGAGTGTGGCGCCCCGCCACACTCTAATTGAGTGCCGCCACAACCTATCCAAAATAGAAGGTAGTAACCACAGTCTAAACTGTAGTAACCACAGCCTAAATTGTTGAAAATTCATGCTAATATCGTGTTAAATCACGATTTATAAACAAATTTCTTTTACCTGACAGCCATATTTGTATTGAACGTGAGGTACTGCTTCTGCGCCAAAATAATTGCGCAAGGAGCTTCAGAGTCACTTGGACGCACTTTTCCCACGGCAGATCACGGCCCAAGGCCAAGATCAAAAAAAAATTGAAAAAAATTCAACCTATCTCTTCTATAAAACTAATTGTAAATTCTACTCAAAACGTAATCAGAATAAAAGAACAAGAACCCACCTACCTTAGAGAAGACAAATCTTAAGTGAAATTGACAGATAATCATCAGTATTTGAGAAATACTGAGTGAATTATACTTGCCGGTAAACAGGAAGTCAAAAAGTATGGCCTGCCAATCCAGCAGATTATAATTCAGCAAGTAAACAGGAAGTCAAAATGTATGGCCTGCCAATCCAGCAGGTTATAATTCAGAATCAGAAAGTTTGCAGTGATTCAATAGAAGAAGGTATAATGTATATTTCTAATATTGTACACAAATTATGGATAAATTAAGAACTTTTGCAAGTGAATATAGTTACAAAATATTTTTAATAGCTTAGGCTCGCTCCGCTCGCGCGTTCGCTTTACTCACGCTTCGAATCGCGTATTCGCAGTAACAAGCACCACACCCTAATTTTTTTCTGGTGAGAGCCCTGAGATCTTTTTTCAACTTGCTTCAAATTGACCAATTTTTTTTCAAAATCATCTTCAAGTTATCAGAAGTTCAAATCTGACTTAAAATTTGAGACTTGACCTTCAATGACCTTTTCAAGGTCAAAAAAGGTCAAAAAGGTACTTGCTTCAAATTGGCCAATTTTTTCAAAACCATCAACAAGTTCTCAAAAGCTCTAATCTGATTAAAAATTTGATCTTCAATGACGTTCTCAAGGTAAAAAAAGATTTGACCTTCAATGACCTTCTCAAGTTCAAAAAGGTCTTTTTTCATCTTGCTTTAAATTGACCAATTCTTTTTCAAAATCATCTTACAAGTTCTTAAAAGTTCAAAGCTGACTTTATATTTGAGATTTCACCTTCAACGACCTTCTCAGGGTCAAAAAAGTTCTTTTTTTAACTTGCTTCAAATTGAACAATTTATTTTCTCAAAATCATCTACAAGTTCTCAGAAATTCAAATCTTACACAAGATTGAACTCATAATATTGTGAGCAACTAGGTGGTGACATTTTATCATGTTAATGCCCTGTTTATTAAGTTGTCTTTCATGTAAAATATGCCTAAGACAAATATTAAGGAATGTTTTAATAGATTTTATTTTGTTTCATTCATTTATTTCTAATCATATGATAAATGTCGTTCTGGGATGGATGAAGCATCATTTGGCATTTCCTCAGTATTTGAAACACAACATGTATTATGAATGTTAACATGTAGGTTTCACAATGGAAGGACCAAAAGTTGGAGGCCCAACAGTTGGAAGAAGAGCTGTTGGCACGGCAACTAGAAGATGAGCAAGAACAGCAGAAAGTAGTTAGTGAACGGGAGAAAAAACGAAGAGACAAAGAAAAACAAGAGGTAAACACTTATATTATTTTTATGCCAATTTGCTTCCAAAATAACATATAAAATGATTCAAAAAATGTTGATGAGTATGCAAAACGTTCCTCCCAAATTGTGAATTTGAAAACTAAAAGCCTTTCTCTTCAAGAAATCCATGCCCAAATTAATGTTTTGATCTTTTTTTAATGTATATCCAACCCCTTCTCTGTCTTCAAGTGAAATATGAAAAAAGTTGATATTTGTGTTCACTTGATTTCACAAATGAGATTAACATTTACACCTTTCCCGAAACAAAATTAATCAAGTTTTTCCACAGCTATTTGAAGATCATCAGTATCTTATGAATATCTTCTTCCAGGTGCTGCAGTTTAACAAGAAGCGTGCTGAGGAACGCGAGAAAGCAGAGGCATACTCACGACAGCGTCTAGAGGAATTAAAGGCCTTAATGGCGGAACAGGCTGAATATGATAAGGAAAGGTATGTGCCCGAGGCTGTTCATTACGTTTTAAATGGACTTATAATATTATACCAATTATTGTTGTTCACAGCATTGTCATGATATTAGAAAATTAATATTTGATATTCACTCCTAAATACGGTTAAAATACACTTATTTGATTTGATGTTGAAAAGTGATATACATGTATCATTGTCTGATGGACTTTTGTCTGTCTGTGCAGGTAGGTGCTACAAAAATGTTGCGATCAGAATTCCAGGAAACCGCTTATCTGTTTTTCTTTATCATAGGGCTAATTCGTAGGATAATGGTACAATAGGTTTTCATTTTGTGTGGTATTTTTCAATCTTGTTCCTGTGGCTCCCCTCTATGTGTGTTTTTTGATTTTTCACACTCTTTCTTCTTGTGGCTCCTCTTTAATGTTGTATTTTACAATCCTGTTTCTGTTGATACCCTATGTGTCATATCTTTCAATCTATTCTCTTGTTCTAGAGTTAAATTCCGAGAAGATCAAATACAGAAGAAACAGGAGGAGATCCAGGAACTAAAGGAGCAAGCTGAGGGAGAAAAGAAACTACAGGAGGCAAGACTAGAGGCTCTTAGGGAGCAAGTTAGACCCAATGTGGAAGCTGATCCAGCCAGGGTAGCTCAACAAACTCAGGTAATATATATTATCTATCTATCTGTCTTGAATATGGCTTGTGTACCCAAATGAGTGTTTTCCCATTTTGCAACAAAATTAGTTTTCAATTCATATTCATAAAATAAACTGCATTATTAGTATTATTACTCAGTATTGACCCTATGCATCAGTGTGACGTCATGCCTTTGTCCGGCCAGAAAATATTGCTGGCCGTCTAGAAAACGTCATAAGCAACAAGTGCTCAAAATGGCGACGAAGTGATGAGAAAAAGTTAGAAGAGTATGCCTAAATGCTGCGTTGCTGTTGAATGTTCGAATAGAGAACAAGTCGGCATTACGTTTTATCGCTTTCCGAGTGACAAGAAGTCACCTGTAAAAAGAAACCTATGGATAAATGCTGTAAAAAGGCAAAATTGGGAACCAAAAGAACATTATCGACTTTGCAGCGCTCATTTCTTGTCAGGTACAGTGTAGTAATCGAAATAGACCTGGTTTTCTAAATAATAAATAAAATAAAATTTTATTAATTATAAAGTTATCAGTAAATAATGCACATCCAAATACCACGCATTGTGTTAATAACGCTATCATTAAACACGAGGGAAGTAGGCCTATGTATTAAGTAATATAATGTGACTGTCGGTGAGCCACGTTCACGGGTTACTAGAGTATCCGCGTATATTGAGTATGACCGGTTCTAAGCTTACGAGTGTGACCGTATTTCTGTTCCTATAAACAGACGAGGTGAGTACTTGCTTTTTATGAACACTTTCGAACTTTTTCTTTTTATCCTACTTGGTCAATGAATGATACTTGGTATACTTATAATGCCAGGCATATCACAAGGGGCCTTAATCAAGAGAAAACGTATTAATATTAGATCGAAGCCGTAAAATCCTAGTTTCCAGCATCTTTGATCAGTTTTTCTGTAACACAACGCAACTCGGAAGAGGATGACACATCTTATGTATAATATATAGCTAGATCTACGAATTAGTCATGAATATTTTAAATAATTTAGCCTGCTCTGTCCAAATATGATACATCTTTGAATTTTTGAGAATACGAATGTCACTGGTGCCCCATTATTGGAGAATACGGTTGTGAAATGTCTTCCATGACATTTCACAAGCGTATCCTCTGGGAAAAAACAAATCCTTCTCTTGCTCACTCTACGGGGGATCATATAAACTGAGATTTGGAGATCTTGTTCAGGTTAGCCATAAAAAGGTTTGGGATTAGTTTTTTTCTACTGTGATATTAATGATTTGGCTCTAAGGCGAGAAATCTGTACTTTCTGATTGATATTCCATTATGAACAGTTACATTGCTAAAATAGCTCATGTTTAACATTTTTTTGTTACATTACTATTAAATACAGCATAAATTATATTCAACAAACACAATTTCAAAAAGGATAATATAGAAGTTAACCTTTATTTTCCATTTGTAAGCAGCTGTGCCTCTCATGACTTTCCAAAACAGGTCATATTCGTAGCCTAAGAACCGGTCATACTCCATATACGTGGAAACTCTAGTAGCCCGTGACGTTGATTTTCACGGGTATTTATGCATGTACTTTTTATGGAGAAAACTAAGAACTTAAAATAAACCTTTGTAATATTTGTTTGGATATTGATGTGCGCTTCACTCGAATATTGTTTATTGTTTACTCTTTTAAGAAGTGAAGTTTAACGAATGCAAAGGGTAGCGTAGACCAAATCATCTCATTAAAGTTTTCTATTATAAGCATATAGACCAAAACTGCGCTTAAAACTTAACAATTATATATTGTATATAGTCAAAATGACCAAATCTAAACCTGATAAAGTGAGACAATTTTAGAATGTACCTCAATGACAGGCCTATAGACCAAAAGTGCGCATTAAAAACTCTAATATTTACACAAGTGACCATAAGTATGCCTCAAAAACTCAAAAAATTGCAAGCAACATCTGAGACTATAATGGAATATTGTCCCTTATTTAAGTTTCAATAAATAATGTAGCTTGATCATTTGATTTCACTTGCTGTTGGATAGGATATGAAATGATTCAAAATACTAGTCCATGTCCGTGCGATTGGTATCAATTCATATAGTTTTGATTACAATCAGAATTCTCAACTTTCAAGTCACCTTTCCTTTAATCTATCTGTAATCACTAATTAACTAGATCAATACGTACTCGATTTCCTTTGCCCACCAACAACACTGTTATGTAAGGGCGGAAATTTCCTCTATGTCCATGGTAAGAGCCAAGGGTAGATGGGGGGGGGGCTGGAACTCTTACAGGCCAAAATTTCAATAACATGCAGTTTTCATCATTTTTGGACACTTTCAAAGAGCTCTTTGAATCTCAGGGCCGTTAGATGGGGGAGGGGGTGTCCAGATATCACTATATCTAGGATGTTGCACCCCCATCCCCCGGCCCCATCCCTAGCCTTTTCCAAGTCGGCATTTTTTACTTATCTGATCTTGAATAATAGAAATCAAGATAGGAAAAAGATACCGACTTGGGCAAGGCTACCCCATCCACCCTATTCTAATCTTTCTGGAAACTACTCCCGATGTGATGCGATCCCATTCTGATACTCATAGCGTCTTTCTGTTTCACCTGAAACATCATCTCAGGACTGAGAAGAAATGAGATGTCATGGTTTATCATGATGTGCGATCGTGGCATAACTTAAGCGAGCCCAAAAAATTCTTCAAAAATGAGATTGAAACTTCAAATGAAAAAAATTGAAAGCTCTTTTCTTCTATCTATCTATCGCACTCGCAACTCCCCCCCCCCTCTGCCGTCCAGAGAGAGAGAGAGAGAGAGAGAGAGAGTCCAGAGATAGTTTGCAAAGCGTGCTCACGGCTTTCCATGGAAAACATCACCAGTTGCAACTAGTCTCTTTTTTCTTTTTAATTTTTTTTCTTTTTAAAGTTGCAACTAGTCTCTTCAACTGTCACTGACTGAAGATCACCTAGACACAGTTACATTATGTCAAGGTGAATACAAAATGTGCCCTTTTTGGAATGTTCAGGATTCACGATGGTCAGAACGAGATTGTATTTTTGATAAAACAAATGTATTACCTGTAAGCAGGTTTCAACGGATTTTGATACACATTTTTTGCCGTGTGTCCTGAACCAGCAGTTTCCTAGATAAACATGACAACCGGGAGATAGTCTTCGGGCTGACATCTCGAAGCTGTTGTTTATGACTTCAATACGGTATATCAATATTGATTTCCTCGCAAAGTATTAAAAAACAATTCGTCTTTTGATAGGCTTTTTTCAAAAATTTTACACTTAGCTTACGTCATTTTAATTCATTCAAACCTAAGACTCGTGCAGATTATGTATGATTCAAATGATTTGATATGGTGATCAGAAACAAAATAGAAGTTCAAACAATACACATCTGAAATTGCTAGAAGGCATCGTGTGCCTCCCAAGGCCAGTAACATATCTATGCAAATAAATAAACAGTGTTGACCCACATGATAAATGGCTATAGGTCCTAAGCTTGAAAAACTATTTCTAGACTACTCCACGGTATATCTTCTGTAATCAAGGTGGTTCAGCAGTTAAAAAACAAGGAAGTATTTGGATTATAAGGAATTAATATTTTGTTTTCATTTGATAATATTCATAAATGGTTCATGGGCATTCCATGCTTTGTTTAACAAATTTGAGACCTTTGTCTCTGATTGTCAAAAGTGAGACCTCCCAAATTGATTTTTAAAAATGAACTAAATGAAGTAAATTGTATATGATAATCAGAGCCGGGATTCAGAGATATTTCACCATTTTGAGTAGTTTTCGTGTAATTTTTGAGCAAATGAAAAATGTGACCTCGCCCCTGGAATAATTCAAGTCATCCCCTTAGCAAATGCTGGATTCGGCCCTGGTACTTGTCAATGCGAAATAATGGGTGTTGATTAGTGGAAATACCCATTTAAACAGACCCTCTTAATTTAGAACAAGTTAACAATTAAGAAGCCATATTGCGATGTACTTTTCGTGACTCAAGTCGGATAAAAAGTGAAAACATACTCTTTTTGATTTGATATCCCGTATTTAGCTAAAGCAAAACATGAAATATTAACACGTGCGGTAAATTATAATTTAAATGTTTTCATATACAGCGCAAAATCTCACATGGCAATTTAATAACGACTAATTTTGTCGTGTGTCTAACCACGGCGTGCTTAGAGATTTCTAGACTCTAGTCACGCTCTGTCCACGCCAGCTCTAAGCACGCCTAAGCACGCCTAGAAATCTCTAGATACACGGAGTTCCTAGACCGACTAAGCACGTCTAGAAATTACTAGAAATTCCACATTTGATGCAGTGTTAGCGCGTAGCGCGTGTTTTCATTATAACTATATATAATGAAATATTATATAGTTTCGAAAGAAAATATGACTCTTGCGTGGTCTGAGATCGGCAAAAATAGCTTCAATAATATTTTCTTTTTGGACACCCTGTAGGTCGAAGGTGCAGGTCGAAGGGAGTTTTTATAACATTCCTGATCTAACTTAGATATTTCAGATGATTTCCTAGTAGAAGAAACAGTTGTTTTGATTTCCGTCAAATTTGATTTTTTGATTTTCCCGGGCTTTTCTAGACGGCCAGCTGAACTGAGCTGGAAAAATGTGTATTTGTGACGTCACTCGTGCATAGGGTCAATAGCATCACTTGCTCAAAATTATAAACACATAAATAGTTTCTTTGAAAACATGATCAAATCCTATCACTCCACCTCAATGGGAATTGAACCCATGACCTCCCAATTAGATCTCGAATGCTTCCACCGAGGTGGAGTGACTTTTTCACATCGGCCCTAAGCATAGGATTTGATCCTATATTTTCAAAGAAATTATAAACACATATACAGGTAAATAATACCATAAATTGATTTTGAATTTTGGATCCAACTTGTTTAAAGAATATCCCAAAAAGTGTTTTAACGCCACTCAAGAACACTTTTAGTGCTAAATTGGAAAGTCAGATTTATTTTTATT